AAAACTTTTACACAATGCGGCAACACTTTCACGCACTCTTTGCCACGCCCCCCGCCACCAGCCGCCGCCTCACCCGCCCCGAGCGCCTTTCAAGTGGCAACCGACCGAAAGTATGCAGCAGCAAGTTTTTTACGCAATTAGTGTACAATTTCTTAATTTATACGCTGTCACCAATTTATCAACACAGAGAGCGAGAGAGAGAGAGAGAGAGAGGGAGAGAGAAAGGGAGAAAAAGAGTGAGTGAGAGGCAGTTAAGTGTTTGGGCGTAGGTTGTCTGGGCAGGACCTTCAAGTGAAATATTATGATGAGAACGTGTTCGGGCAGCAGCTGAAGGGTAAAAACTACCCAAACAAACCAAAAAAAAAAAAAAAATAGAAACCAGAGGCAAATAAGGGTTAAAGGGTCGCTTGTCGCTGGGCTTAACATATGCTATGCGCTATATGCTGTATGCTATATGGCAACGGTTCATAGTTTTTCATGCGAAATATGATATATGAAATACTATTTATAACTTTATCAGAGAAGATGTACGAATTAAGTATGCATATATGTGTGGGTGTGCCAAGTGTGTGTATGTGTGTGTGTGTGTGTGTGTGTGTGTGTGTGTGTGCTTGTTATCAAAGCATTGAAAGCCGCCTTGGCTTGTGGCTGTTAATTAAGTTATGATGGCAGCCCACAGAGCAGATATATACATATGTATGTATATCCATATATGTATGCATGTGTGTGTGTGTGTGTATATGTGTAGCATAGGCATTTCAACTCTAGTTCCTGGTCTGTTAGGCCGTCAGTTTATGAAATTTTCATTAATTTTCGACCACAAGAGAGTTGATGCTGCCGCTGCCGCTGCCAACGTCGCTGTCGCCGCCGCTGCTGCTGCTGCTGCTGCTGCTGCTGATGGGCCCTTCGGGCTGACAGCGGTACGAAAACTTGACGACACAGCAATTCTAATGAAATTTGCGACATGTATGACAGCCAAGCGTTAGAGTTGTAGAAATTGTATACATATATAAATATATATGTATGCCTGTGTATGTGTGTGTGTGTGAATGATATTTGGTATCTGTGTGTGGGTTAAACTTATGACAATGTCAAAAAGTATGCTATGATTTGTCGCACGTTAGTTCGCTCTCCCTCTCTCTCGCTCTCATCATCTTTGATGGATGATGACAAATGTAGCAAAACTTTCTTCTTCTTCTACTCCTACTTCTACTTATTTTTTGTTGGCTAATTATATGATAATCAAAGAGCATCAACAGTTTCATTTGTGCCCCACTCAATATATATTTATATATGTATGTATACAGTTATAAAAGTGAGTTCATTTGGATTTTAATTAGCTGTCCACTTAAGTAGGCCATATTTGGGCAATCGGCCTATCGGCCTATCGGCCTGCAGGCATAATCATCATAACAATGGCCTGACCCAAACGCGTTTACAGTTCATTTCGGTGTCAGTAGTTTCTGGCTTTAGCACTTTCCATATAATTTAGATTTATCGCCTGATTCTCGCATAAATATCGAACATATCTCAGCGATGCTGGGGGCTGGGGTGGCTGGCTGTTGTGGGAGGCTATTGTGAATTAAGGCATCGCCTATTACTCGCACTCGCAGTCAGCAATGCATAAAAGCTTCTGCCTTGAGTGCCCCGTCCCGGTCTAACGACTTGTAGATGCGATTATATAAGCAAATATATAGCACATATATGGCCATGCATGTAGCTGTGTAGGTGTAGCTCCCTCTCACTCACTCTCTGTGCATTATAAAAATGAAATTGGTCTTTAGATAATGCGTAGGCAAATGATATATTTTGTTATAGACTTGAGGAGTTTTAAAGGCCTCGCGCGCAGTTTATTGAGTCATATATTCGCATAATGAAAGGAAAACGATGCTTAACCGTTTCGGTTTTGCGCTGCAAATTGGGTTTATGTGTGGGGTTATACTCTGGGAGTGAAGAACTTGGAGTATGCTATTCCTTTCTTTGGAAATCCATCAGTTTCTGCCCATCTCAAGCCAAAATTTGTCTTCCTATCATTAATAACCGCTTCAGAACCGTTTCAGAACCGTTTTAGAACCGATTCAGAGCCGCTTCATTTGAATTGATTTCTAATGAGCAATTCTCTATCCGTCTATCCGTCTATCTTCTATCTGTAGTCTATCCATCTGCCAGCTTCGTTCCGTCTTGAGCAATATGTATCTCTTCAATTGATACCCTATCATGCGTTTCATCTTGACAGAGCTGATTCGTCTTAACACTTGACTGCCCTGCCATATTTCCACGCACAACAATAGAGAACAGTGAAAGCAACAAAGACAAAAAAGAACAGAAGAAAACAAAAACAACAACACGGCATTTAGCATTAAGCACACAACAAGCTAGGACAGCGAGCGAAAGAGACATAGAATGAGAGAGGTAGAGGGAGAGGGAGATGGAGGAGTGGAGCTGCTATGGGAGGTCAGGGGACAAAACTGCTCCCACTCGAGCTGTCCGAAAAATTAACGCAAAATCAAAGTAAAAATGCGATAAATTGGCGACGACAAGCGCAGCGGGCAAAAACACTCACAAAACGCACACACACACACACACACACACACACACATAGAATATATAAACAATAACAAAAACACAGTTGGCAACGCATTTTGTGGAATGGCGCGCGCTTTAAATGAGCGAAAATCGGTCGAGCATATCAAATTGAAAAACTCCAAGGCAACGCGCGCTGAAGCGAATGGCAGGAGACGGAGACGGAGACAGAGATTGGGATGAGGCGATAGCGAAGAGTCTCAAAAACGTGAACTGGAATTGTGGGTCTAGTTGCTGCTGCTGACGTCGCTGCCGTCGCTGATGCGATTGTGGCGCGTGATGCTTTTTGCGTATCCTAGTGACACACAAATACACTCGCACACACACTCGCAAACACACACACGCACGCATCTACGCAACGGGCAACGGTAATCATAGCGGGCGACTGGGGCGTCTGGGCAGCTGAGCAGACATTGATTGCTGATGTGGCAGGTTGTTAGGTTACAGTTAACGTGAAGCCTCCAATGAATGGCTAAACTGATGGATGGAGCATATTATGCGGGGGCTTAGCCAGCAGGCGGTCAAGGAAATAACAGTTCATTCACGAACAGTGAAGCAAGTGAATTGCAAATACAATTAACCGAAATCACTCTCAATATCTCCATCTCTCTTCCACTTATGCGCACAGTAAGAAATCAAAAAGCAAAAGCAAAGCTACTCTAACCGCGCCCCAATTGTTCAATGGCGATTCACACGGCTGCTGTTCATCATCTTATTTTGTTACAGTTATTTTTTGCCTTTTGCACTCTTCACATTCTATTTTAGTTTTTTTACCGGCTGTAAGCGACGCACTTTTTGTGTGCCGCCGCCTGCAGTTGTTGTTGTTTTTGTAGTTGGCAAAATTGTTGCGTTTCGCATATTAATTTCTTCCTGTCTTCGTCATCATCATCATCATCGTCATCATCGTCATCATTATTATCGTCGTGTTGATAAGCTGTGTTACAATATTGTGGCTTGCCCCTTCAGTTACTCTTCGAGCGCTCTCTTAGCGCTCTCTTAGGCGCTCTTATTGGCGCAACCTTCCAGCCGCGTGTACATCTCTATGTGTCTGTGTCTGTGTGTGTGTGTGCAAATAAAGCAAAAATAACAGCATGTTTGTCTGTATTGCTGCTTTACTCTACTTTTTGTTATTCGTGCGTAGGTTAATCGCACAATTTGAGTCATGTGCTTAATAAACATTTTGTCTGCTGGTCGAGATGCAAATTCGAAGGCATTTTCCAGTCACAACACAACGGCAAATGCAAAAGCAAAACAAAGGCAAGCGCAAAATCAGGCATAGCGCACATGTTTGCTATTTTCTTGCAGCCCGCTCGCTCGCGCAATATTTGCAGGCTTCATAATAACACCCCCACCCGCTGTTGACTCACTCTCTCGTTCTCTTGCGCGCTCTGTCTCTCTCGGTGGCCTGGCAGGCAGCCATCCAGCCAGCCAGCCAGCCAGCCAGTAAGCCCGGCACATGGCAGCCACGCGTTCGCTCTCGCGCTCTCCCACTCAGATACACTACGCTCAACTATACAAAACACCTTACATAGCTAAGGCGAAACTAAACTATAGCCGGCTCGCTCGCACCCATGTCGGTGGCTGGCGGAGCCAACGTCGGGTATTTTGAAGAGTGGAGAGAGCGCGCGGCAGAGCGTAAGATGCGCGTGCTTCGGCTACGACTACAGGCGGACTGGCCGCCACTCGTCGTGCACTCGTCATCGTGTTGTAGTAGATTTTCCCTTAGGCCTCTTGTGTTGTATTTTCCAGCCGCCCGCCGTTTTTCGTTTGGCCAGCCCATGTGCAATGTGCCGCTATTCGTCTCGTCATTTTACCGTTTCACTGCTCTTCGGTTGTGTTTTTGTTAATGCTCTATAGATTGTACGATTGGTATTAGAATAATATCTAATTGGATGTTCAAATGTGGAAGAGTATTGACGAGATTCTAATAAGAATTTAGTTAGTTATTTGTTACATGTATATTTAAAAATAGCCATTGAGAGATATGTTTAATCTGGATATTGTATTTTTGTATAGCTGATATATTTATTGCATTAATTTAAATAATGCCTATGCACTATTTTACTTGGAATTATCTATATAGTATAGGATTTATCTCTTATCAGAAACTTATTTGATTCGTAGAGCATACGTGACTTCGTGTGCCCTTCGTTTGGCGCTTGGCTTATTGCTTGTTTTGGTTCGACTTCGAACCAGACACAAGCGCACACACATGTTCGATGCTCTCGCCAATGGCCAACGCGTTGCGTTCGGTTCGCACCGTTCGTTCGCCTTACGAGCCGAACAGCCCACCCACACACAAGGGCAACGTGTATTTTGTTTACCGTTACTCGTTCGTTGCCGGCTGTTGCGTTCGCTGGTTCGAATTGGTCGTGAGTTTCGTACGTACGTACGTTCGTTCGTATTTGTTGTAAGTTCGTTCGCGTCAGACGTTCGTTCGGCCGCTCGGCTCGTGCGAGCCGTTGTTAGCCGTTGGCTCGTCTTTTATCCACACTTCTCGCATTTGGCAAGCGCCGTCCTTTTTCAGTATTCAGTATGAAATTGAGTTTTGTGTAGTTAAGTCGGAATATTTCGTATGATTCTCGTCGACTGTCTGTCGTGTGACATTTGTTCAAAATAAATACAAAAATATTCAACACTAAGAAATAATACTAATCTAAATAATTAAATAATATTAAAAAAAAAAAAACCCCACACACAAAAATATAAATATACACACACATATTATATATATAATTAAATTCGCTTAAATATTTCCAAAAATATAAATAAAAATAAAGCAAAAATTATATATCAAACCAATTTAATAATCAAATCAAATTCGCCAGCCAACCAAAACAAAACAACTTTACAAGCCAACAAAATACAAAAGCAAAGAAGAGTTTATCAAATCACAAACCAAATATAACTAAACTTTATTATTGTTAAACAAAACAAAAAGAGAAACAAAAAATTAAGTAAGAAACGTAACTTTTCGAAAATAGAAATTCCTTTGCTTCAAATTTACCTTTACACAGATTTCCCAGAGTATTTTCAAATACTTTCAACTACCTTTCGAATCGTGTTTGAACATTTTTCTTTCATTCGAGCCCAAAATAAACCAAAAAATTTGATAAACAAACCAAAAATAATTGGAAAACAAATTGTAAACAAAGGAGAGAAAAAATCACTTGAATTTTCTCTCCGTTCTATTTTTTACTCTTCTTCTTCTTTTTGAATTTGAATTGCCTGCTTTTTTTTTCCTCAATTTTCCTATGTAAACAAACATTGGAAAATTGTTTCACATAAAAATGGAAAAGTGTGTGGAAAAGTGTTAAAGAAGTTTTTCTTTTTTTTCTAATTGGAACTAGAAAATTTAAAATCAATGTGGAAATTGAATATCAGAGTTCAGAAATTGAAATTTGCATTTGATCTGAAATATCTTAAACATTCCAAAATTTCATTTCCATTTCCTGGAAAATCTGTCTATATATCAGTATCTATATAAATATAAATCATATGTATGCAAATATAATAGTTTAAGAAATCTTTGTTCATATTTATATAGATATCATATATGCAATTTTTCGCTTTTCCTGACTTTTTTGGGCAAAATATTTCTCTCTTTCTCTCTCCTAATGAATTTTATTTAATTTTCTTTTTGCTCCCATTTTCGGAAAACAATTCTCTTTTTTCCATGGACCAATTATTAAAATTGTAAATTTTGTTTATAAATTGTGTGTGCTTGAAAATATTTCTTGGAAAATTAGTGCAAAGTGTGAATTCAAATTTTGGTTTTATTTTGAAGGCGAAAAGTTAGCTTTAAAGCGATTTTCTTTAAGCTGTAAGAATAAGGAAAAGTCCTTTTATTCTGAAACTTATAATTAAAGTTTTTAATATCTTCAAATATATTCTTAATTCATTTTTTTTATTTATCCAAGCTTGTCTTGGCTTTAAAAAGGAAGACAAGTATTTTTAGATTTGTAATTTCCAAGGTTTTTAAAACTTAAACGCGTATAATATATATTCCTTATGATTGTATTATATTTGAAGTTATTAGGATGAGAATTTAGCATAGGAAGAGTGCTTTGAATTATTTACTTGGTTAGTTTTTAGCCAAATTTTGTGCTTGGATATTTTTATAGATAAAAACAGATTGAGAGAAATGTTTGTCTACATTTTTACTAAATTTAATACGGGCTTGAACTGGTATTTTGGTACAAACCATTTTAAAGAAAATATTTTTAAATAGTTTCTACTTATGCTGCCAGTTCTTTCAAGCGATTTCCTATATCTAAAAGTATTTCTTTAATATATATAACCAATTTTGTGTTAGAACCCAAAAAGAACCTTCTGAGTAAATGCTTTAAATTAAAGAAAAATAAATAATATTAAATAATAAAAATAGCTGAAAATTATTTCCAACTCGTTATTCCAGAAAGATATTAATATATTATATATTATCATATAGGAAATATATATATGGTACATCATATTTAATGATGTTAGTGGCAAAGTTTCACAGGTGCAATTTTATTAAAATCAAATTTAAATTCCTGTAGAGCTTAATAGGCACATCTCTTAGAAATCCATTAGATATCCCATATATCCAAAGTTTCCAAGCAATAAAATTCGGTTTTCATTCTCGTATCATCAAAGCGAAAATAAATCAAAGCACATTAAAGAAATCGCTGATTAACTGTACTCGATTAGGCATTAGAGACAGTAAAGAAGAAGAACGAAATAAATGTTTAACAATAATAATAATCATATTCATTTTTAGAAAAAACAAAAAACAACAACAGAAACAACATAAGCGTGTGTGTTTAAATACTGGAAAACACAGATAAGATAAATTTACATACACACGCACAACAACAACAACAACAACGACAACAACAAAAACCTTATATATATGTACAATAAATAAGAGAGAAAAAAAAAGAGAAAACGCATAAAAAACAACTCAAGTGCAAACAACAACAAAAAAAAAAAGAAACGAAATCAAAAAAAGTGTTGAAAAATTAGCAAACAAAAATAAATACAACTGAAATATATATATATATTTAAATATATACATACACATATATTTAATAAGCAGCAAGAAGAAAAACAATAAACACAGAACTGAGCCAAACAGAAAGCAAAAAAGAAATCAATTAACAACGATAATAAAAATTGAAAATTTTTCTCGCAACGTTCCAGTGCAAATCGTTCCATATGGTTCATATTATTGAATTGGTCGGCCAGCCGAAGGTTGAGTTTGCTCAACAAGTTACTGTGAGTATCCGCTATAAAGCACAGCAGTGTGTGTATATTTCCAATAGCAAAGTGACACAGAGAATGAGCGGGAGCGGGAGCGAGGGGGAGGCATACACTCATACACGCACACATGCACGCAAATGATAATAAATCTTGTGTCTGTAGTCACGTAATGACAACTTAATACAAATACATATAAATACATGTGTATGCGTGTGTGTGTGTGTGCAAAGGGCAACAGCAAAAAATTACAAAAACAATATAAAAGAGAACGAAATTCATTTGCACACACACGCACACACACACACACACACACTTTTTATTATGTTGTTTGGGTGTCGCCTTTTTGCTGCTCTCTTCGCCTCACTTTTGGCTTTGCCCAACATATTTTGACAATTAATCATTCGGGACTTTGTGCAGTGCGGCGAGGCAGGGCGAGGCAGGGCGAGGCGAGGCGAGGCGAAATGCCAAAAATCAGCGCCTCGCCAGTCTCGCAGTGTTTGTTCGCTCTGTATGTGTGTAGGTCAATCTGACTTGTCTGCATTTGTACGTGCGTATGTGTGTAGGAGTGTGTGTGTGTGTGTGAATCTCTGTAAAGCTTGCCCACGCGATTCTCAGTTCCTTTTTTTGTTTGCAAGCGGCAACAGCTGTGCCCCTTGTTTGTTACCGTTATAATTGTCGCTCGCCAGCAAGTGCATTGACTTACTTTGTCCTTGCGATTCGCCGCGAAAGTGGCACGCAAAAGTATGCTACAGCTTTGTCTGCGAAGCGACTTTAATTTGAGGGAAGCAAGCGAATATTCTCTTTAATGAAAAGAGCTTAAAGTTGGGCGTGGAGAATAGAAGAAAAACATTTTCTGTTAGCTGTATCATAATAATAATACGAATTATATTTGAAATATATTTAATATATATTTTTTTTTTTAGAATTTTATTTGACTTTGAAAAAAACTGCTTAAATTTTTAATAATACTAAAGTTTAAAAGATATCCAAAATGGATATGAAAAACTTTATTAATTGTAAACATATTTTATTTTATTTTTTATCTTATTTTTTATTATTTTACTTATTTTTCCGTCTAAAAATATGAAAAATAAATTTTTTTAATATGTTTTACTTACTCTTTAATATATTACCTGAACTTAAAACAATTCTAATTATTTTTTAATTATTAAGCAGTTATGTGAAAAAAAGATGGAAGAATGATTTAAATGAGTAATTTATATATATATTTTTTTAACCAACTTTGCATTCCATTTATTCCGGAAATATCTGAATATTACTGTCATATACTTATCTATATTTATGTTCATATATTTATATACATAATTTGTTGAAAATATCATATATCTGTAAATTCCATATCCATAAATCAGCTGTTAAACTATTGCTCATCTAGTTTGTCTACAAACTTTTAGTATCGAGTGTAATTTGCCCATTTGCTTCCTTGTCCACATTACACATACGAAATTTGCCTACTTTTAAGGTTTCTCTTGATTTATTTGCGCTCTCTCTTCATTGCTTTAAGCTCTAGCATATGGCGTTGCTTATCTGTAGATCCCGTTTTATTCGCTTTTTTATCTTCGCCTACTCTCCATTCTCGCTGTCTACTTTTTGCTCTATAAAGACTTTCTTAAAGTTGATGCAAAATTTAGAAACTTAAATTCTAATCGGATTTACGAACATTTCTTCTATTTTCGCTATTCTCTGGCAGCTGGCTGTGTGAGTGTGTGTGCGTGTGTGCGTGCGTGTGAGTTGTTGTTACTGTTATTGTTGTCTGCTTGTCACCCTCTTCTTGATTTTATTACACAGTCTCTTTAGTTCCCGGTCTCAGCGACTATTGCGTAAATTTCATTGTGTCTTTCACTTTTATGGTGGTTGCTTGTGTGGGTGGCTGCTGCTGCTGCTGCTTCTTCTGCGACTCCTGCTTTGTCGAGAGGGCGCGGCGGTCGGCGGGCGGCGGCATAAAGCGAATGCGTGCGACGTGCGTGCGGCGACTACGCTGCCGGCGTCGCAGTTATTCTTTGTTGTGCTTTGTGCGTGCGCCACTCTCTCGCTCGCTCTACGCTACGTGTCCTCTCTCTCTCTCCCTCACTCACTCACTCTCTCTCCAGCTGTCTGTCTGTCTATGTGTCTGTCTGTTTTACTTTTATCCCTGCCATGGGGATGTTCAATGTTCCATTGCGTTTGCTTATTCTAATGATGACACATGCGTTCTCTCCACTTGGTTTGCTTATTGGGTTATGTTGTTGTCCTTCATTCTTGTTCTTCTTGTTCGTGCTGTTGCTGTTGCTGTTGTTGTTGCTATCCGCTATTCCTGTTGCCCGCTGGCTCTCTTTCCGTTTCGCTTGTACTTGTATTGTTGTTCAATATTTTTGTGCCACTTGTTTTGAATTTTTTCACATTTTTCGCATCCTTTTTATTCAGCTGTCATTGTCGTATCTGCTACTGCTACTACTTGTTGTTGTTGTTGCTGTTGTTGTTGGTGTTGTTGCTGCTATTACGTGCGCGCTAAGTTGCTCGTTAAATGCTTAAGTGGAGCAGAGTCGTTGACACAGTTTTCTCTTTGCCCATTGCATTCGCATGACTCACACAGCTCCGCCTCACATCACACACACGAGTGCGAGCGAGACAGACGCGGCGTTCGACTGATAGCTAGAGATGGGAGGAAGCGAAGTTTTTGCTTTGCGAACTGCTTTTAAAGTTTGATTTTCGTTTAAGAGCAACTTTTCTTTGTTGACTCGCATGCAATTGTTAAGCTTGTGTCATAAGGACAATGCAAGCCAGGCATACTTAAAGGCGAAAGCTTACCAAAAAAAAAAAAAGAGAATTTATTGTTCGACTGATAAGAAGTCGAGTCCATTTAAGTTTCAATAGATTTCATGGGAGTTTTGGTTAAACAACTGAAATTATAGCAAATGTGAACGGAATTTGAACTATTGGAATACACCCTTATAAAAAATGGATATGTCTAAGCTATATAATGCTCATATATCGTTTTCATAGTCTCTATTGTCTCTTCTCTCTATCGATTTCGCATTCTCACATTATTTCCGCTCGATTTATGTAATCCAGTTGAAAGTTGAAACTAGATTTCCATTGCTTTTACTTTGCTATTGTCTTGTACTGTGCGCCCTTCTACTACATTCTCATAAATTGCAGCTGGCAAAAGAAAGTTGTACTTTTTAATTCTATAGCCGGTGCTTCCTTTTCCACTTAAACTCCTGCCACAATATTTATGTTTATTAGCTCGGCTATTGCGCAGAGTTGGGCAATTACCCAGCCAACAAAAGGCGTTGGCGCTTTTCAATATTTATGCCACCGGCTGCCGGTGGGGGAAAGCGCTAATAATATGCAAAGCCAGAGCCGGAGCCGGAGCCAGAACCAGAGCCAGAAGTCGAGGCATAACAACGACCGCAAACCCGTTATTATTATTGTTGCATATGCCGAGGCGTTTTTGCCTGTCGTTTTGTTTTCCCAAGCAATTTGCTAGGCATGTAATTTAATAGCGCGGCGGCAGCCCTGCACACACGTCCCACTGTCCGTGCGCCTGTGACAGTAGCTGTTGACGCGCCTCAGGTGGGACAGCCAGGTATGTCAACAGGCAAATTATGCCCAGGGTAGAGCGCAGACAATGAAGTCCTGGACGATTAGTGAGCGCCTTACGAGCCGAGCCGAGCAGAGGAGCGGAGCGGAGGAGAGGTGGGGCGAGATTGAAGTCCTGTGAAAGGCGAGTCCTTGGAGTGTTGCAATTACGAAAGGTTGCGCTAAATTGTGTGTGCATAATTGCTGAGAGGCCTCAGGACTTTCGAATGCCACAGCGAATCACCTGGAATGCGCCTAGAGGAATGTGAGGGAATTATAACAAATATTTCGAGTTGATAGAGATGAAATTCGGAATACGAAATTAATGTGGAATAGAGATGAATATGTGGATAGGCAGATAGGGAATTTGGAATATGGTATATGGAATGTATATGGGAAATTGAATGCAGATGGGATATACATATATAATATATGAGATGAAGATATATATGTGATTGAAAGAGAATAGAAACGTGATTTGAGAATGATAAATGCTGTAAACGAGATATATAGAGAACAGAGATGAGATAGATGGAGATGATATGGAAAAGATATTATTAAAAAATATTATATTATTATTAATATAATAGATTAAGTGAAAGATATGAAATCACCTCGACTTATTGGAAAAACCCAAATAATTCCTTATTAAAACGAAACTTTGATGCGCTCAATCAATATATAATTGGGGAGCTCCACTCATACATATATCTGCTGGTCATTCGCACCATATATAGTTTCATATTCCGCTCAGCCAGCCAAAGCATTCCTATATATATATGATAGTACTGAAATATTACAGTTTCTTCCTCTTCTTCTTCTGCTTTTGTATTAAATTGTTGGCCACGCGACTCGCTCGTTGTGCGAGGTGACATTTTTATAGCTTTGTTAACAGGCCCAACAATTTTTTTTTTTTTTTTTTTGGTTGGTTGGTCGAAAAAACTACCACCCCCCGGTGGCAGCGCTGCCAGCCCCCCGCCCCTGCTGCAGCGGCGGCACACGTTGCTCTTTGTTTTGCTGGGCATGTTTAGCGTTGATTATGCT